ACAGCACGTGCAAGATGAAGCGCTCCAGGAGACGGGGCAGTTAGTCACCGCAGTCCGAAAGCCCCCGTTGATGCGCCTGGAGCACTGTGCCCCATACACCATCCTCACCCTCCCAGCAGGCCACTTACATCCAATGAAACGTGTGCTGTGTGTTGAGCTAGCATAGGAGCTGGTGTGGTGTGACGCGCTGTATTCGCCCCTGTAGGTCCATGTTGAGCCGCGCTCTGATTCGCCGTTTTTCATAACGCGGATCGATGGCAGGGGACGATGCAGCCCCAGCCGTCTCAACCTGCATGCCGCCAAAAGAGAGAGAGAGAGAGAGAGAGAGAGAGAGAGAGAGAGGAGAGAGAGAGAGAGGAGATAGAGAGAGAGAGAGAGAAGAGAGAGAGAAGAGAGAGAGAGAGGAGAGAGGGAGAGAGAGAGAGAAGAAGAGAGAGGCACACACACACACACACACACACACACACACACACACACCACAACACACACCACACACACACACACACACACACCACACACACACACACACACACACACACACACACACACACACACACACTGTGTGTGTGTGTGTATGTGTGGCAGGTACCACCCAGAATGGTTGAGGGTGTCGATGTTTCAACCACGTAGCTACCGTACCGGTATCCCGTATGTGCCGCAATTGTGACAGGTCAAGGTTAGAGCCTTGTCAGGGCTATACCCATACTAAACTGGTCTCAGGCAAGTTTCTGGCTGCATCTCTGCATCGGTCCCATGGCTGACTAGCTCTAGACCAGCCTCTGGACCTAGCTGTGCGCTGGGCTCATGACCGCATTCTCCAGGTCCGACCGTGGACCCGAGGTCTTCGGTGCTGATTGGACAGTGACCTGGCCAGTCTGCGGGCCCGGGTCCGATCGTGGACCAGTCTCCGGTGCTGATTTGACTGTGACCTGACCAGTCTGCGGGCCCGGGTCCGACCCTGGACCCGAGGTCTCCGGTGCTGATTGGACTGTGACCTGGCCAGTCTGCGGACCCGGGTCCGACCGTGGACCACGGTCTTCGGTGCTGACTGGACAGTGACCTGGCCGGTCTGCGGGCGCATCCGTACGCCCCGACCGTGACCGAGCTGCGGGGAGAGGGAGAGTGCGGAGCGCCGCCGAGAGCGCCCGGTGACGAGCCATTCCCTTACTGAGATGTCCTTGCAGACTCGGCCGTGCAGGCGCCGTTGGCCGCCAGCAGGCGGCTCATATCGCTATTTACTATGCGGTAAGGTCATTTGGTATGTGCATTTTGGCCCTTTTCACTTTCCCGCTGCTGTATAAATTTGCATGCTTGTTTTTCAGCTCCGTTTCAGTCGACGACACGATATTTTTGATCGCAATCATTTTATTGATAGAGGGGGGTTTACGATGACGCTCATGATGGTCTATAACACGGCACACTTTTGACTGTAGGCCCAAATTTTAATTAAATGTAATAGTCTACCGTCACATTCATTAGAAGGAATAAATATAATGCAGCCGCAATGTGAATATCACGGCTTATTGTATTTCATTCGAGCTAGAGACTGTAACAGACAAATGCAGGCAACGCCAGACCCTGTATAATGTTAATTAAGATACTCAGTCTCAGAGAGGGTCCGCTATCAGTGATGGTTTACGTTCCACAAAAGGCCCACAGGGCGCTTAGGTCCTTCTCGTGGATCTCATCTTGTTTCATCAAATCCATTTCTTGCTCCTTGCATGCATATCAAATTGGCTTCGATCTCTCCAGACGGCACTGAGCTATTGGCTCTATAATGCAACAAGTGATCAGCACAACTAATCTGTTTTTGGTTCAGAGCAAACGATTGCCGCACGCCGCGCCTCAAGAGAGCCTACGCCGTCTGCCTGGCCCGCCTGGCGGCCGCCTGCTGGTGGCTGGTGCCCAGCGGCTGAAGACCGCAGCGGCGCCCACGCGTCCTTGCGCCGCCTCCCCAGCCCCCCTTCCTTGAGAGGTAGCGCCGGCGGCGGTACATCAGCCAGCCAGTGGTGGGCATCGTGCGGCCGGGTATAAAAACTCGGCCGGCCGAGCAGCGGGCATCAGTCCGGTGATCACCACACACAGCCAACATGAAATACGTGAGTACTGGAGAGGTCCTCGCTCGTCCTCACACGCTGGGGCCGGCCAGCGCCAGCAGCTGGACTCTCGGTGCCTGTGGCACGCATGGGGTTTTACTCGTGCTGCCAGTGGGTAGCCGCAGTGAGGCAACTGTTTCTGAGACCCTGATGATCGCATTGTGTCCTTGTCCGGCAATCCCGGCCTACAGTTAATACCGGTATGCGTTCTCGTCATACGGCTCGTTATTACGTACTCGTAAGTGTTCTCAGCGACCTCTTTTAAAAGGAAGTCGAGATGGACGTTGTTCTTGTATTAAGTCCCAAAGCCATCCTAAAAGCTATGGATCTTGTCCCAAGTCCCAAAAGTCCCAAGAAACCAATCCTGAGATCTTGAGCACACGGTAACTCATCACAAAATCGTACCCTCATTCGCATTGTCTTCTTGTATTTATCCTCAAAGGCTTCAATCTCGTCATGAACATTGGCGACACGGCTGCGGAAACCAGCGTCGGCATCAGATCAGCGCTGTGTTCGCTGGTGCGGTCGTCTGGCCCATGCCTTCGACCTGTCCCACCAGAGCAGACCAGGACTCTCGTAGCATACTGACGCCCGGCGCCAGTGCTCCTCCCGCAGCGCCCACCTAGCTTCTCACCTGCCCCGACCTGACCTCGTCTCGTCTGCTTCAGCTGGTTCTCGTCGCGCTGCTGGCCGTGGCGGCCGCCCGGCCCCAGGAGAAGACGCTGGCCGACTACGGCATCCTCAGGATGGACGCGTCGACTAACGAGGATGGCAGCTTCCAGTACAGCTACGAGACGGCCGACCCGTCGGCGCAGGATGTGAGCGGGCAGCAGAAGCAGATCGGTGAGGACGTCGGCAGCGTGCAGCAGGGCACCTACAGCTTCACCGCCAAGGACGAGAACGGCCAGGACGTGCAGGTCACCGTCAACTGGGTGGCCGACGAAAACGGCTTCCAGCCGCAGAGCGACGCCCTGCCCAAGGCGCCCGAGGACCCGAACGCAGCCGCCCAGGCGGCCGCCTACGCCAAGTTCTCCGCTCTGTAGGAGAGCCGACCTCGCCAGATCCATCGAGCCGAAGACCATTTCCATCACGATGTACAGTTGTACGCCACTGACCTTCCGAGTTTGTTAATAAATCATTGCAACTTCAGAGCGCGTGTGTTATGCCTCCGTTTTGAGGCTCAGTGTCATGATGGCAACATGTGTTGCTTTCGCAAGACGGTTCAAGCAGTTGCACAGAAATGCCAGAGAAAATGGGTGGCAAAACCATATCTTCCAAATGGGTCTTTCCGTGCCATGGTGAAATCATATTGAGTTTTCACGAAAAATATCTTTCCCGAGCTCTCACGAGAAGCTCGGGAAAAGGGGTACTCCTAGGCCCTGCTATTTGTATCTTTATGGGTTCAGCTTCCACTGCTCCGGGAAATTCAGGGAAGGTCTGATGCTGCCTCGGTGCTGTGCACCTAGGCATGGCTTGTGCGATGCAATTCATGCATGTATATTTTAGACCATAGGAGACACATGTGCAGAATGCACCATTCTGTTTTGATACCTTGTCCATTTGGACATGTAACAGATATGTACATATAACATAATTGGGGACATAGACATGTAACATGAACGTGACCTCAGTATCAACATCCGAAGACTCAGAAAGCCTGTGGATTTATTTGTGTGGATTTATATTTGTTTGTGGAAATCCTGTGGGTTTAAGTAATGATACAATAGAGGCTAAAACTTTCTCTCTCACAACTAAAGTCACCGTTAGACTTCTCGACATGAAATCCCATATGTTGCGCGCTGGCCAAAGTCAGTCAGAATTGGC